GGGGCCATCCCCAAACTCTTCCACAAAGTTGGGACCATGAAATTGTACAAAATGTCTTGGTATGCCGACGCCTTAAGAGTCCCTTCACTGGAGCTAAGGAGCCAAGCCCACCCCTGAAAAACAACTCCACACCATAATCGTCCCTCCACCAAACTTTACACTTGGCATAATTAAGTCAGGCAAGTAGAGTTCTCCTGGCAATTGCCAAACCCAGACATATCCAGCGGATTTTCAGAAAGAGAAGTGTGATTCATTACTTCAGAGATCACGTCTCCACTACTCTAGAGTCTGGTGGCAGCGTACTTTACACCACTGCATCCGACGTTCTGTATTGCAGTTAATGATGTAAGGCTTGAATGCAGCTGCTCGGCCATGGAATTCCATAAAGCTCTCTACACACTGTTGTTGTGCTAATCTGAAGGCCACACAAAGTTTGGAGGTCTTTAGCTATTGATTCTGCAGACAGTTGGCGACTTCTGCGCACTGTGCACTTCAGCATGCGCTGTCCCGGGACTGTGTGACATAAGCTTCTAATGTTAGCTCTGTCATGCCAGAATAGTAGAAGCACCCCCCCAAAATGACCCCTTTTTGGAAAGTAGACAGTTTAAGGTATTTGCTAAGGGGCATTGTAAGTATTTTGCAGATCTTATTTGTTGCCACAAGTTTTTTGGAAAATGATAAAAGAAAACAAAAGTATTATCCTTTTCTTTTTTCTTTTTCAAAACCCTGTGACAGAAATGATATTTGAAAAATATTTGAAAAATACTCACCATTCCTCCTATCATTTTCCTTGGTTTCCTTGGGGTGTCTACTTTTCAAAAAGGGGTCATTTGGGGGAGTGTTTGTAGAATCCTGGCATTTTAGGGCCGAAACTGTGATAAGTAGTGAGGAAGTGATATGAGGAAATATGCCCTTTGAAAGCCTGAAGTTGGTCATTGGATTTTGGTGGCCTGTATGTGGCTACACTGACAAAAGGTCTCTCACATTCCCATACTCCGGAGCAGTAGTAGAATGTGTTTTGGGGTGTTATTCCACATATAGCCATGGCATACGTGAGCAATATATCATTTAAGTGACAACTTGGTGTTAAAAAAAAACATTGTAATTTTCCAAACATTTTGTGGCAAAAAAATAAAATCTTCCATGGACTCAACATGCCTCTTAGCAAATTCCTTGGGCTTTCTGCTTTCCAAAAAGGGGTAATTTAGGGGGTTTTTGTACTGCCCTGGCATTTTAGCACCTCATGAAATGTGATAGGGAGTCGGAAAGTAAAAGCTGTGTAAATTCCAGTATATATACCATAGTTTGTAAACGCTATAACTTTCACACAAACCAATTAATATACACGTATTGGATATTTTTTAAAACTGAAAGTAGAAAATATTTTTTTTTTTTTTAAATGTTTTTGGTCTTTTTTTTTGTTTATATAGAAAAAAATAAAAAAAAAGTGGTGATCAAATACCACCAAAATAAACCTCTGTTTGTGTGAAAAAAGGACATACATTTCACTTGGGTACAGCGTTGCGTGACCATGCAATTACCAGTTGAAATAGCGCAGTGCCGAATAGCAAAAAAGCGCCTGGTTAGGAAGGGGGGTAAATCTTCCCGAGGGCAAACAAATAGATTACATTTTTTCAAAACAAATTTATTGATATAACGTTTTCAGTATTAAAGGTGTTACAATAGCCCTATTACTTGTATAAATGAAAATAGTTTGGTAAATGTTTAAGAGGGATGATGGTATCTGCCCCTATTTAATGATTATTGCCATGCAGCAGATAGAATATAATATTTGGTACACATATACAAACTCTGGTGAAATTCTGAAATCTAGTTCCATGGGATCCCTTCACGTCTTAATTTTTCTATGAGTTATGTCTGTAATATTTTTGCAGCTTGTCATTTTCTGTTAATCGAATACACAATTTATTAGAAGGAATTCATAAAATGTTCCTATGATAAACTTTAGAATTTGGTAGGGCCACTAAAAAAAATAAATGCCCATGCTTTCACCAGATTCTTGTACCTCTCAGAGATAGACACATGAAATTGTAGAGGCCAGCACTGAGGTTGGAGTGTCCCTACTGAACACTCCAACCTCAGTGTGGTTTTTTTCCGGCCCACTGTGCCCAGCACTGAGGGACTGAGAGTTCCTCATCAGGTCACCTTTGCTGTTCAATCCCCTGCCCACTGCTATCCACTATCACTTAAGCAGAACTATACTCGCCTTGGCTCCAGTATTGAGGTGACATGGAACTCCCTGCTGGCCGCTTCCAGGTATTGGGCTCTGGCCTTTTTCATTGGCTGGTCTGATATGAAGTCACTCCTGTGCATGTGTGAGAGCACAGCCAACTTCGTCAGGAATTGCCGAATTTCTACAGTTAGCTGCATCTCACTGTACAGGGGTGGACAGGCAGGTAGGTTATTTTAATGCAGAAGAGACAAAGCATGTCTCTTCCGTATTAAAAATCCTGCCCATTTGCTAATTTTTGTAATGTACATAAAGTTCCACTTTAAAAGTAAGGCACACCTGATAGGGAACTAGTCTCTCATTTCCCCATTAGACTCCACCTACCCTGGGACTCAAGCATTTTTTACCAAATATGGGCATTCTCATATCTGGGTAATGACATCGTCAGCATCCCCAGCTCTTTGTTTACATTTATCTTTTGGCTGGGGAATCTCCCAGAAAACAGCTGAATGGGGCCATGGATACAGCACTGTGCAGGGTTACATACAGCATATTATTAAAGGCTTACTTGCAGGCAAAGTTGCAAAAGTGGGTTTACTTCCACTTTAACTGCTCTGTGCAATGGAATTGCACAGGGTGGCCCCGAACATCATCTTCTGGGGTCCCCTGCCGGTGCTTCTGGCTCCTCATCTTTGTTCAGTGCCTCCATGGGAAGCTGCCCCATGGGGGCAATTGTGCATGCTCACTCCTAAGCCCCACTGCTGTGTCCATTGGCACAGACAGCTGGACTAGGCCCCTCCCCTGCCGCCTGCTCCCTCATCACTGGCTTTGATTGACAGCAGCAGGAGCCAGTGGATCCCGGTGCCCCAGCAAAGCTTATGAGACACGGAAATGAGAGGAGATTAGAGCTGCAGACGTGCACAGCTCTGGATCGAAAAAAGGCTCAGGTAAGTATAAGGGGGGTGGGGGGAGATGAGAGGCCAGAACTGATGCCTAAACATTTTTTACCTTAATACAAGGAATGCATTAAGGTAAACAATTTTTAGGCTTTAGAGCCACTTTAAGAACCTATCTCTGCCATAGTCATAGGTTTCTAAATCGGCAGGAGTAAGAACTACCTGAATTTGGTTATAATAATAATAATAATTTTGTGTAATGTCACTGAAACTGGCAAAATGCTTCAACAAAATGGTGTCCAAATGGCGTCCACCTGCACTATGATTAAGCCCGAAAGTCCGAAAAACCTCTGAGGAATTCTATACAGGTGGAGAACAGGAGCTGAAGCCATCTTTTACCCATCTCATCCACATTTATGCAATAGGGAGTGTCTGTGTGCAGATGGGGGTGTCTGTGTGCAGATGGACGCCATTTTGATGTAGCTGCTAACTTTTAATTTTCACACATATAACTGAAGAACTGCTTTAACCTTGGATTCACTTACTGCATCCTTGTTCTGGGTAAGTAACTCAGAAAGTAATAAAGTTAAAGGATTGACAGACAACTAGATGTTCTAGAAAGGGGTTAGCTTTGGCAGATTCCATATTTCAATCATTGCAGGTTACCTTTTTTATTTTATGACCTCTTTATTTTAAAGAGCCTCTGGTTCTTTTCATTTAGAAACCAAACCCCTAAGTAACACACATACTGCACTGGGATGGGATAATCTGACTGTTCTGACATTAAGGTACATCTAACCCACTAATATTTAGTTTTAGTTTAGGAAAAGAGACCTCTGTAAAGAGTTTATTGCTGTGCATACAAAAGAGGCACTAAGATCTCCTATTGTTGATATCCAATATTGTGTATGGCCATCTTCGTAATTGCCTCATTGAGGCTGATTCCATAAAACAAAGAACCCCCAGACTAAGGGAGGAGGTGGTGAGGGAAGTCCAGTTGATAAAAGTAACGGCACCTAACCAATAGAGATGGAGAGTCCAGAATCATTTATTATAAGATCAACAAGAGAATAAAGCCATCTCTTTTTGGTGATTCACAAAATCCCCCTTCATCAGGGCTATGATACAATTAAAGAAAGAAAAAAGTCTGAAAAAAATCCAAAATGGTCTATTTTTTTCAATTGCAGAGTTTTTTTTGCGAGAGTGAAGAACATACATAATCAGACAATTCAATGTTTTGAATGCTATATTTCTGTTTTCACTGTGGTATTCATGAATGTTGAAGTGTCTGATTATGTATGATATTTTCATTCTTACAAATAACTCTTGAAAGAAATAGACTTTTTTTTAGATTTTTTTTAGATGTTTTAATATATTAGGTTTGTATACCCATCATTTATTTGGATATAGATTCATATATATCTTTTTTTCTTTGTTTTTATTGTAGTCCTAATGAAGGGAAATTTAGTGAACCCCCAAAGCAATTTGGCTTCCTTATCTTGTTGATCCTCTCATAATAAAGTACAGGATTTTATTATGGTATGTGTCCTTGCTGCTAGAGAGATGTACTTTGTATATTTGTCTTGAAGGAAAAGAATGGGAAATACAAAAATTCTACAATTGACAACCAGGACAGAGGATGAGAGAAAATATTCCAATGGGGGTGAAATGATTTCCTCTCACTGTTGTATTGCTAAGTAAAAGAGAATCTCCTTAAGGGGGCACAGCAAACAAATGTTTTTTTTACCATTTCCTAGTCTTTCTAAAACTAAAATAATATATTTTTGCTTTAGATACATTGTGCATTAATATTAGAGGCCTAAATGGCTGAAAATGTAATAACTGTCCTATATACTGTACCATACTTGTTTCCTAAACTAAATAGTAACTTGATGTGTTTCTTTTCTCCCCAGGGATGTTGGAGGAGTTTTCAGAGTTGCCCACTCACAGCAACAACAATGCTCTCTTAGAGCAGGTAAGCAGCCTCTACAAGTCAGTTTATATCCCAGTAGATGAGATTCTTAAAGGTGAACCTATATAAGAAGATACAATGGGGATTCCACTGCTGACTTCTTCAGCCAAATGCTAATTGCTTGGCAGCCATGCTTATACTCTTGCATCAATCAAAGAGTCATTGTAAAGGAGAATTGTGACTTTTTTCTGACTTTTTAACTTGTTCAGCTCTTTTGACATGCTGCATACATCCATATAGTGAAGGGTTAAGCACAAGCTGATGGCTACAATGGCAACCATCATCTTTTTCCCCTTTTCTTTAGCTGGCTACTGGCTGTAAAGTGATAGTTATCTAGAGGCTGAGTCACTTTCATAGTGTGGGTAGCATAGTCCCTTCCCCCATGTGGTTCCTGGTCTTGCCCACTCCCACATTGCAGGGTATCAACATGGTGGGCCATGAAACTGGAAGTGACAATGATTCTGAGCCATTAGTCTCTGCTTGATACATCCAGGGAAGCATCTGACAGAGCAGATCTCTGCTCATTTAGATACTTTGGAGGGCAATTAAGACATTGTGGTCTCTTTAGATCCTTATTGTCTCCATAAAGAGAACCTGCCACCTGCACAATGCTATCACATGGCGGTTTGTTAACCCCTTGTGATAGGAAAAAAGTTTAAAAAAAAATATAAAAAGTTTAAAATTACAATAAAATGTATTAAAAAACAACAAAATAATAGGCATACCCCTGCCCTGCATGCACCCAGAAATGCAAACTTGCACCCAGAGTGTGCACGTGTATGTAAACTGCGATCACACCACACGTAAGGTATAACCACAAATATGAGAGCAATAATTTTAGCACCAGAGCTTACAGTTACCAATAAACTGATGAGCTGTAAAGGCTTTTAAAGCCATGCCTATGGAAATATTTGGGTAGGATTGTTTTTTGCCATATCACTGGCACATTCAGTTTTCAGACTTAGCATGTTTGGTATCTATTTACTCAACGCATCCTTATCTTTTATATTTTACAAAAAAGGTGGGCATTATATTGTGTACATTTGCACTAAAATTCATTTTATTATATTTTTTCCTGAAAATATACTTTTAATAAACAATTGTGCAAATATTTATTTATTTATTACAGGTACTTATATAGCGCTGTCAATTTACGCAGCACTTTACATATATATGGTACATCAGTCCCTAACCCACAAGGGGCGTACAATCTAAAGTTCCTAACTTATATTCATACATACACATACTAGGGCCAATTTAGACAGGATCCAATTAACCTACTAGCATGTCTTTGGAGTGAGGGTGGAAACCGGAGTACCTGGAGGAAATCCACGCAGGCACAGGGAAAACATGCAAACTCCAGGCAGGTGGTGTCGTGGCTAGTATTTGAACCAACGACCCTAGTACTGCTAGGCGGAGGTGCTAACCATTTAGCCACTGTTCTGCCAATAAATATTGTGCGACATAAAAAATTGCAACAACTATCTTTTTATTCTCCATGACTAAGCCCCTGTGGGTGGGGCGAAACATGTCGGGGGGCCTGAACTGGATTGAGTTAGGCTGAGGCTGCTATCACCTATTTCTCCCTGGGTTCACATGGTATGTGGTGGTTGAGATTTCTCTCCTTGTTCTGCGGATATTATGGAGTCAGGGCAGACTCCTAGCCTGGCCTGCACCCTCATGGCAATATACTGAATGGGTGATACAGATGCCGGAGTGGAGACTCTGATTGATTTAGGTTCTGAGGAGTTTTAAGTCATTTTAATTTTGTAGCCAAAAATGCAGATATTTACATGCAAGCAAAAAAATGAAAAAATTGCTCTAGTGATAAAGTGGTTATTATTGATATTTGAAAGTATTAGAGCCAGAGCTGGTAGGCAGTGACAGTAATGACAGTTAAGAGTCGCTGACCTGTAACAGTAGGAAGATTGGGAATTTTGACTTCACTGTAAACCTACATATTGCAAGCATGTTTTGGGCCTGTAACTCAGAAAATACAGAAGCCTGGGACAGTTGGATAGCAATCATTTTCAGGAGGTCAGCATAATAGTAGTTCCATGCAGGGCTTTTTTTCAGCGGGAATGCGGGGGAAACACAGTTCAGACACCTCCAGCCCTGAATGTATGTAAGGACAAGGGGTATGGGGTTTGCCAGAGGGTCTATTGATTGTGGGTGCAGGTGGATCTATTGTCATTGCTGGGATCTTTTTTTGTGTGAAGGTCTGTTGTTGCTACTGGGAGATCTATTGTTGCTGGGGGTCTTATGTTGCTGGTAGGGATCTACTGTTGAGGGGGAGGTTGCTGGCTGCTGGGGGGTCTATTGATGCTGACTGCTTGGAGATCTGTTGTTGCTGGGGGTCTAATGTTGCTGGGGTGGATCTTCTGTTGCTGGGGGTGGTATTTTGTTGTGGGTGGTCCATTGTTGCTGTGTGTGGGGGTCTATTTATGTGCGAGGGATCTATTGTTGCTGAAGTGGGGTCTATGGTGCTGGGGTGGGGTCTCTTGTTGGCGCAGGAGATCTAATGTTGCTGAGGGGACCTATTGTTGGTGGGGTGGGGTCCATTTTTGCTGGCGGAGTCTATTGTTGTGTGGGGGATCAACTGTTGCTGGGCTGGGTTCTATTGTTGCTGGGGAGATCTATTGTTGCTGGCTGCAGGGGATTTATTTTACTGCTTTTCTTGTTATTAGCTAATTCCATACAAATTATTCAGCACCACAAAATGATACTTGGTTCTGTATTCTCTAAAAGGGGCAGTACTGGGAGGCGGGTAGGGGGTGGAACCAAGGGACATTGCTCAGAGGAGGGGAGGGGGCAGAGACAAGGGGGGACTCAGAAAGCGGGATTTTGCCGCCCTAGATCCATGTATTACTTGCAGTACAGGTTTCCTTTAAATATGCATATAAACTCGATCTGTGTAGTAAAACATTGAATGCTTTTTCATGATGTTCCTTTTTTCAGCTACAAACAGCCTGCAGAGAGTTCCTGCCCAGGAACCACCCTTCTTTGACATGTTTCACTCCAATGGGCAGAATAGTGGAATGACCCGCTGCAGGCTGTTTGGGCTGAATGTTTACGGAACAAAGAGCAGAGATAGGCTCTCTGGCCACCACCAGGTTCATCTTTATAAGATAGGAGTATTACTGTCTGAAGATTGCTGTCTACCTAGGATCGTGAATGAACAATGAATGTCCCTGTTATGACTGTTGAAAAAAAATAACTGTTGATCCTGTCAGAAACCTTGTGAGCTGATAACTTCCTATCCGTTACTTTTCCAAGCAATCTCTGCAGACTAACCCCATGATGTTATGAGGGTGTTTCGTGGACGTATCTTAGGGTGACAACGCTACTTCTCCATACAGAGAGTACAGAGAGTGTTGTCATCCTAAGCCAGGAATTGTTACTGGCATGGGAATATAAAAAGAGCCTCATATAAAGAACACGAATACAGCCACCACACCTAAGGACTGGTAAATATATATATATTAATTTTTTGCTGCTGGGTTTAGATACATTATGGGGGTTTACTAAAATTGGAGAGTGCAACATCTGCCGCAGCTCTGCATAGAAATCAGTCAGCTTCCAGGTTTTTTTTTTTGTCAAAGCTTAATATGGTACTAAACCCACAACAGTAAAATCAGTCTAGATATGCATCATCTCACGCCTGGACTATTGCAATTCCCTTCTCAGTGGCCTACCCAAACGAACGCTATCCCCACGCCAGTCGATCCTAAACTCAGCGGCTAGACTCATCCACCTCACCAACCGCTCCACATCTGCCTCCCCCCTCTGACAATCCCTTCATTGGCTCCCAATTGCCCAACGCATCAAATTCAAACTGCTAACTCTGACCTACAAAGCCATTCACAACGCCGCCCCAAACTACATAACCGACCTGATACCCAAATACTACCCTACCCGTGCCCTCCGCTCCTCACAGGACCTCCTACTCTCTAGCTCCCTGGTCTCCTCCTCCCCCACCTGATTGCAGGACTTCTCTAGGACTTCCCCATCCTCTGGAACTCCCTACCCCAATCCATCAGACTGTCACCTACCCTCCTCACTTTCAGGCGCACCCTGAAAACCCTCCTCTTCAGGGAAGCCTACCCCAACCTCAACTCACCTAACACCTGAACTCACCTAACCACTAACCTCCTCCACTCCTCCCACCACTCCATCCCCCACCGCCATTTCCTCCTGTACCACCTTCCCCTCCCTCCTAGATTGTAAGCTCGAAAGAGCAGGGCCCTCGAACCCCTCGTGTATTGTATTGTTACTGTCTTGTCTCATGTTCTGTCTCCCTTGCTACTGTACAGCGCTGAGCATGCCCTTTGGCGCTATATAAATACTGTATAATAATAATAATATGCTGTAAAGCATGCTTGCTATACTCACTGTGGAACCTAAGGGGTTAATCCTCCACATTGTGTAAAAAAGGCTGTTTTGATCCTGTTTTGTCTGATTCTCCCCTTCTTATACTGTCTCCAATCCATCTGCTAATAGTACAGAGCTCAAGGAGTCACTCTGCACATCCTCTGTTTGGTGTGTCTTGCTAGAGAGGTTTTTTTCTTTGGGAGGATGCATGTGCTCAGCTCAGGGCCAATCAGCACTGTCCAAACCGAGGGTCAGGGGTTATGCAGCCTCATAGGACAGTCAGAGCAGAATGAAAACTCCTCCCACAAGCTTTAAGCAGTGCTAGGCTGGACACTGATAGAAGTCACAAGACATCTCTAACTGCTGATGAGAAAAGGTATTTAGCAGTTTATATTTACTAAAATAACTGAATTACCATGTTCCTGTGTACTGTGGGAGACCAGATATAATGAATGCAGGGTCCTGGGTTTAGTAACACTTTAATTGAACAAGCTGAAGTTAGAAGCTGATTGGCTACCATGCACAGCTGCAGCCATCAGTGCCCATCAGTGTCGCCAGTCAGTGCCGCCTATCCGTGACCTTCAGTGCCACCTGTCTGTGCCCATCGGTGCACATCAGTGCCGCATATCAGT